ATAGTGACTTTAATTACCTTGAAAACGCTTGAGCCATTTCTGCCAGGCATTCTGTTACCTGAGCCCCTCTATCTCCGCGTGTATCTCCCCCCAGCCCACACCACGTGTGGCGTTTTCCTCTCTTTTACTTTTTCTCTTTCAGACCTTCTTCCAAGGCGACAGAGCATCAATTGTGACGACAAGCAGCGTCCTGGAATCTGTCACCCCGTAAGTGATCGGCACGTTCTCTTTGGAGATGCTCACAATGACGTACATCTCCCGCATGCTGAAGCTGCACACCCTAAGATGTGCGTGTGTGTTTGTTTGGTCTCAGTACTGCGGCTCTTTAGGTCAGAGGCTGAAAAAATTTATTCAGTTCCGGAAAAATTGCACCCTTTCTTTCTTTGAGCAAAGCCGCTCCCATTTTCTTCACTCTAATTTCTTGCTGGATTCCCAACGAGCCACCTGCTGTGCTTCTGGATTCTCCTTCCATTCGCCCTGTGTTTCAATGCACGGCTCCGGCCACATCTTCCTCTCCATTTTCTGGTTTGCGCCTTCTCTTGTCTGTTCCATCTGATCCACATTGCAACACGTGGGCACGGCAGTGAGTTTAAGTGACATTTCCTGTTTCTAGATAATCCATTTGTTTTTCGACAGCCCTTTTCTTTTGGAACCTGCTCAGTCATTTCAACATGCCCAGTGCCCATAGCTTGTTATTCCTGGCGCTCTGTCTGCTCCCTTTCCTACCACACCTCCTTGCCCACGCCCTGCGCTCCTTTCCCAGGGCCGTGACACTGTATAGCGACCGGCTGTTCTCGGGCCATCACGGCGGCTGGGCACAGGTTCTGCCATGGCCCTGGGCTCTGGCAGCTGCCCCACGCGCGGCCCCATGGGGTCCGTCCGCAATGCCCCGGCCAGGGGACGCGGGCCTCTCTTCCACGCCAGGGGAGCGGCTCTTGTGCGTAGCTTCGTGTCCACCGGCACCCAGGAAATGGAAGAAGCTTCCAGAGCCTTTCCCGGGCCAGAGATCTCCAGCCCCTTCCTCACGTGGGGCCCATGGTGACTCCGGGTGTCACGCGGGGGCTCCGCCCCGGCGCCTGTGCCCCGCGTCCTCCCACCCGCCGTCCCCTCTGGGCCTTGTTCCCCAGGGGCCCTGGCGGCCGGGACTGACGCTCGGCCTCCAGTGAGACCCGCCTCAGTTCCCGGAACACGGCGGGTGCCCCCTCCTCCCCCACGGAAGCTCAGCAGCACCAAGAGCAGCTCGGACAGGGGTGCACAGCAGTTGGCCTGTTTGCCGTGGGGTGGGGTGGGGTGGAGTCTGCTCGCGGCTCCGCCTTCCCCGTGGTCCCCATCCTCTGGCACCCCTTCTGTCACCCTGGCGAGGCTTTCTTGTGTCCCCAAAACCACCAACCACTCTAATGGCCAGAAGACAGACTGGCTCAGTGGAGTTGTTTTCTCTCAACGGTTCGCTGAGTTCTTTCGTTCCTAAGCAACACCCGTCTTTCCCAGAGAGCCGGGCACCTGTTGAGAACTTCGTAAGCTCCCCTTACGTTCCGCTAGCCACCGTGAACAGTGACCAGGAGAGACCGTATTCACCCAAAGCATACAATTAAAAAGGTACGATCGCCAAACGAGGGGGAAATCAGTTGTGTTGGAAAAGGTGCCTCCCCGACAACATCTCGTGGGACAGAGCCAGGAGGTGGGCGGAGAGACTTCTTTCTAAGCCACTGCCCCCACCCTCCCCCGCGTTAAGGAGACGCCTTCCAGTCTCAGGCTGACACACTCAGCTACACGGCACAGTGTGCGCATTTCCCGTTGTTTGGAGTCTTCTGCAGGGAAAGTCTTCAATATTTGTGTTTAAAAACCAAGAACATAATGTTACAAAACACAAGACAAACATCTCCACTTCCACCCCCCCAAGTGGAGCGGTGGGACAGAGCCTTCCTTTCTGCTGTTTGAGGGGAAAGACGGGCGTCTGCCCGGGACTCCCGGTGCAGGTAGACAGCTCGCGTTTCTAAGTGGCCACGATTAAAAAAATAAAGCACCTTTAGAAAGAAAATCTCTTACCGTAAGCTTTTATTTTTAAAACTGCGTTTTACTTTTGCACTGGACTTTCTACAAACAACCTTTTCCAAGCAACGTCTCCACAATCGGTCCCCTACTTTTAAAGCTAAAATCCTCAGGTCTCTTTCACGGAAACATCCTTCCTGCTAATATCCATCTGAACATTTTGAAGCATAGCTCTTTGTACCAAATGTATATCTTAATGGGTTATTTCTTACTTTTCAATTCGGTTAAACGAGGTGGATCTGTGGCATCGTTACTATGTTGATGTGATTTCAAGTGCGCTCTCCTCGACCCTGCCTGCCCAGCCTCCCATGCCAGAGAGTCTGCCTGCAGGGCAAACCCAACCACGGAGACGTCAGCAGGCAGATAAACCCATGAACTGAGGCCGGTGATCCCACTCGGTGTCCCTCGTCTTCGCTGTGGCCGTGGCACAAAGCAGGTGCCTTGCGGGTCTGTCAGCACAGCCTGAAAAGGGTCACAGCCTCTTAAAATATTTTCCCACATAAAACGACCAGGTAACATCAGACAAACCTTCAGCGGTACCTGCAATGTCAAGATAAAAGGACAGAACGACCTCCTTGCCACATAATATCCAGTTACTGCTGGAATCTAGAAGTACCAGGAACCATCCGGAAAATGACACGAATCAGCACAGCCTTGATAGTATGTTACTGCAGCAAATTATTTTAACAACCAAGATTGGTCCTCGGAAGTGTCACACTCCTTTCCGGAGCAGGCCCCTGGCCAGCCAGGGCGGAGGCCTCTCTCAGCCTCTGGCGGGCGAGTCTGATTGGCCAAGGCGCCACCTCCCTGCTCTTCTCTTTCAAAACCAGGAGTCAAATTCCCTGTATGTTCTGCGTAGGAAGAACGACACGATAAATATAACAATGTCCCATTAAACAATGTGCCTCGTAAGACAGCCATCCGAACTGCAGAAGCCTGGCCATGTGCAAATTGTAGACAATTTGCATTTTGGAACTGTGATCTACATTTTATACACAACTGAAAACTCAAGCTCTCCGGCAAACAGGCCGCACCCGTCACAGGGACGCAGGAAGGCAGAACCCGAGGTCTCTGGCATCCCGTAAACTCCATTCCTAGGCTCCGGCTGGACAGACGTTACCATCTGAGAAGACGCTAATTACCCCATCTGCACCCCCAGAGGTGGCTCTGGCCCAGAACTAATCATTAAAATGCAAATAGGTGTTTCCTTCTTCCCCGGTTTAGGGTGAGACTGCGAACGGCTTCTGACGAGAGAGAAGCCTAGTCAGCCACGCAGCGCAGCCACCCGCCAGGTGTGAGGACGCCCGCGCCCCGGGACGGCGCTGGCGCTGCCGAGAGAAGCGGCCGGAGGGTCCTGGGCCACACGGCTGATTTCGGATCCCTCCCGCTGCGCCCAGCCAGCTCTCACGCAGACGAATTACTTAAGTGACTTGAAAGGGGATGAATATTCACGCCTCGCACCCTTCACCAAGCACAGCCCGGCTGAGGCCCCGCCGCCGCCCGCCTGATCCGGAGCAGCGCCGCCTGCATCCCAGACCCGCGGAGCAGGGGTGAGGCCCACAGGCTCTGGACCTGGGCCAGGGAGGACCCGCCAGTGGCCATCGAGGTCAGCCCAGGCCACTTTCTCTCGACCAACCTGCTACTGTGATGACCTCAGAAACCGGCCACCACCCCTCGCGGACCCCCAGGTGACTCACCTGCCCTGACTCCGCCTCACTGTCACCTCACAGCCTCAGCTGGGCTGATTCTTGGACCAGACCTGCTGATACAACAAATCGCCGAGACCCATGCTGCACACACACCACGCAGAGAACACGACTGCGAACAGCAACAAGCAGATGGAAACCACCACACAGTGAACACGGGCCACCTCGTTGCTAGCGGCACAGCACCCGCGACTGAGCAGAGGCAGAGGGTATGGGGCAGTAAAGGTGTGGCCGTGCGTGTGGCTGTGTGTGAGTGTGCAGAGGGGTGACAGGAAGAACTGAATGGCACACGGGGCAGGATGTGCCCATTCCCCATGTGGCAGCAACAGCGGAAAGTCGCGATGAGGAGAAACGAAGACCCATGGGTCCGGCCGGCACCACGCGGCAGGCGTCTGTCACCATGACGCCTTCGCCCCTGGAAACGCCAGGGGCCCCGCGTCCAGCATTTCGACCAATGGCAAAGCTGAATCCTTGGACACGCAAGGCAAAGACGCGACCGCAGCTGCGTCTGCGTGTTGCATTCTGTGAACGACCTTGAAGAAGGTGAGAGCTCCCACCCAGTCCCTGTGAACCGTGCCGCGGGCAGACAGCACGTGGGGTGGGATTTCCGAATTAACCGCATGCTGAGTGGGCACCAGCTCCATGTCATGGGTGCTCACAAGGGAGCGGCAGGGACGGATGTACCCCGTCCCCAGCACGTGCAGAGTCAGGCTGGCTGTCCTCGGCTCCCTGAGGCTGACAGGTTTTCCAGCCAATTTGCCTCTTTCCTTTATTCTTCACCCTCAAGTCATCACGAACAGGACACAGACCTGGGCTCTAGCTGTTTGGACGTATGAACCAGTAACGTATTCTCAGGAGCTCCACTCTCACAGGTGTTTTAGACAAAGGGAGGTTTGGCTGCGTTCACATCGCAACCCACTGTCGGCAGCGGCAGAGGCAGCCGTGCCCGAGTTTCAGGCCGACCCTACGCATCCTCTGCACGGACAGTAAGGGCGGGTCTGCGAGGCCACCTCCCCTGAGGCTCATTGGCTGATGTGCTTACAGCCAAAAACTGTGTAAGAAACTGACCAAACCTTCTCACACATACAAGAGCCGCAGCTTGGCTGTGAGGCCAGCCGCCCGCCAGCCGCCCGCCAGCCGCCCGCGCGTGCCCCACCCTGCCCCAGGCACTTGCTCGCCCTCCGTGGAACACCGTGCGCAAGCCGCCCCGCCCCTGTGCCCCTGAGGGTCAGGGGCCACACTCACCTTCCGGCTCCCCGCACAGCGTGCACTGCGACTCTGCAGAGAGAGACAGAGAGAAGTGTCACTCAAGGACTCAGCATGATGCTCAGCGCTTGACGGCCACCACGCACACAGCTCCAAGGGGCCCGGAGCTCGGCCATGGGGACAGTGTCTCAGCAACAAACCCAGGCCCCCCCACGCCCAACCTCAGTTCATTTATGAAAGCTACCTGGGCAAACATTTTTGGCTTTATGCGTTCTTAAAATAACAGTCTCTGTCATATCACATGCACACATTTATGCGAGGGGAGAACCCCCCAAAACCGCAGAGTTATCTTCTGGAGGGCGGGCCCCCTTGCAGTACAGGCTTCCTCCACTGGTGAGTGTTCCACGAACCCGTCTGTGTCAGCGAACAGCTGGCTTTGGTGTGAGAGGGTGTGTTCGGCTTCAGTGAATTTTTTGAAGATTTTTTTCAGTGTGTTTGCCCCTTTCACGACGGGCGCTTCACCAGCGCCCCTGCCCCCGCCGGGCTGAGGGGTCAGCAGTTTCTGGCCACAAACGGCATGACCCCGTACCCCACCGCTCCCTGTTCACCTGATCTCACCCTGAGCAACGTGTTCCCCCGGGTGAATAAAGCCCTCACAGGGAAACGTTTTGCTGATGCAGAAGAGGTGAAACAAAAAACAGTGGAAGCATTAAAAAGCATCCAAATTTCCAGTTCAAACACTGTTTTAAGCTGCGGGAAAAACGTCTCGGTAGGTGCTCTGCATCACATGGAGGGTACTTGGAAGGTGACTGACATTTAAACATGTAAGCATACAGTTTTTTAGTAAATAAATTCTTGGATTTTTGGCCCTTCCCCCCGCCTTGTAAATACATTATCATACCTGCATATGGCTCAAGACACAAATTTCTCTGCTGAAATCAGAACGGCCTTTTTTATCACTCAATTTCAACAGGGAGACCTTGCTTAGATTCCAAGCAAGGATTTGTTGTACCTCCTTTCAGGCACAAGTAACAGTAAGCGAAGCATAACTTCACGTTTCAGGACAGACCCTGAAACCAGCCGCGCCGCTCCAGCCCTAAGCAAGCGGCCGAGGACCCGGCACCAGGCCCTGCCACGCAGGCCGACACGCGTCGGGGTCACAGCACCACAGGCGTCACGCCCGAGACGACGCTGCGCCCACGGCGGGTTCACGCCGGAGGAAGGCAGCCCGCGCTGCTCCCAGGCAAGACTGCAGACTGGCCAGTGGGCCGACCCTCCCTGCGTAGCGCTGGGTGAATGGCCGCCCTGGGTGGCTGGCCCTGGCAGACACACCTCGCCCCGGGCAGGCCGAGGGGCGGGGGGCGGGCGCCGCTGGCACGGGACCCGGTGCAGGGCCGGTGGAGGCTGGCCACCCCGCGTCCACAGCGGACGGCCTGCCACGGGCCAGGCTGCAGCCCCCTCCACGCCGAGCTCGCTCACATGGTACAGCGTCTGGAGGCAGACACTGGGCGGCTGACAGAGCTCCGCTTCCCACACAGTTTACCCGGAAAGTAACTGCTCCCCGGGCGTGGGAAGCCCGTCCCTGAGGAGGCAAGGCCCTGGCCACTCAGAGGGCCCCCCGCCCCCCGCCCAGTGGACACGGACGAGCCTCAGTTCCCCTCTCGCCCTTGCCTGGGAGGGGAGCAGAGCTGGCCCTAGGAACGAGCAACAGCCTGTGGGTGTCCCCGTGGATGCGCCCTGTGTGCCCCCAGAGGGCCCTCCATCCTCTGTCCTTGCCGCCTGGCCCCGCTCGCGTGCTGACATTCCCCCCACACCCTGGCAGGACCTGAGCAGCCCCCACAAAACATTCCCAGCGCGGAGAGAACCCAACAGTGGGCCCGTCCCCACTGTCACCGTCCTTGTTGCTGCAGAGCCTCCTGTTATTAATGAGGCGGCGGCCGCGTGGCTCATGCTAACGACCTGGGACAGAGCCATTTCTGGGCGCCACCTCCGTGTGCTCCCCCCAACCAGGTGCTCGTGGCCCAGGGCACCTGTTCGAACCTTCCAGGGAGGAGGGCTGTGGTGCTGGTGTGGCTCCATGGGCCACTCTCCCCACGTCCTGTGCATGCAGGTGAGTGCGTGGCACACGGGGCGTCCCACCTGTGCGCAGTTGGGGCCACACACGGCCCCCCGTCCCTCTCTCCGGCCGGAGCCCCGGCACCTGTGCCCCGCAGGGCGCTGGGGCAGAGCTGATGGCAGAGTGGGAGCGGGTCTCCAGGGGGCCCGCGGGGAGGCGGGCAGGGCTGCCAGGCTCCGGGCACACTCAGCAGGAGGCCGCTTCCCTGAGAGGACCCCTCCCCCTCCCTCCCTCGGGGCTCACACTCGAGGGAGCTAGGTGCCCACTACCCAAGGACTCGCCAGGATAAACACCCATGTCCCCTGTGACCAGGGCCCTGAGGGAAGGCACATGGGGCCGCATGGGAGCAAAGGACCCCGCTCTGAGGCGGGGGTGCTCCTCTGAGGGACCCAGGCTGAGCGACTTGTGGGGAAACAGGGTGGGGTGGGGTTCCAGGGAGAGGGGGCATCTTATAAGGAGCAGGTGACGTGGGCAGGTAGCTACTGTCCCTCTGTACGGACAAGAGACTCACCAGGGCCCCAGCCCATGAGGGCAGACAGGCCACTGCCTGCCTGGGGACTCCAGGTCTCAGCGTCTTCTGCTCCAGGTGCCTTCTGGGTCCAAGGTGGCAGAGGTGACTCTGGGGTCCCCTTCCTGCTCCCTTCCCTGCCCCCTTCCCTGCCACTGTCCAGTGTCCCTGGAAACAGCCCCTTCCCCCCAAGCCCCACCCCCGCCTGGCTCACACACAGCCCAGAGCTCTGCCAGCCAACAGGATAAACTAATGAGTGCTTCTGCGTTAATTAATTTCTGATGTTTGTGTAAGCTCAGGGATTTCTGTTCTTGTGATGGTCCCTTTAGGTGAGCTTATCTAGAACGAAATTAAATCCCGTTTTACCTAATTATTCTGAAATGTCAATCAAAGCAAGTCTTAGACGCATGTCTTTCCCTGCAGGCCCCTCCAAGATAATCTCACCATAAAGAAACACGCAAAATAGAGATAGTGTTCGTAATTGATGTGCATTGTCCTGCCGAAGCTGCAGGAGGATCGCCTGGAACAGCCGCCTGGACGGTGGGCCTCAGCTGGGAGAATTAAGTCCTCACATTTCGGCAGGGGCCCCGCCAAACTTGAAAAGTAAACACGGCCTATCTGAATGCTTCCAGAGTTGATTACTTCCTCAACATTTACATGGAGGTGGGTTTTTTTTCCAAGTTTAAGTCAAAATCACTCGCATTGTGAATTAAAATTACACAAATTCTTCTTTTTCAAAACGATTTGGACTGTTCTGAGTCCCCTGGATTTCCCCATAAATTTTAGGAGCAGCATATCAATTTCTGAAAACAGAAACAGCCGGGACCATGACGTGGATCTGTTAAACCCGCGGACCCCACTGGGGAGCACTGCTGAAGTGCCAGGAGCGAGTTGGGACCTGGTCCGGAAACATGGGGCGTGTTCCATTCATTCTTTCACTTCCTTCAACAGTATTTTACAGTTTCCAGGTTATAAATTTCCACATTTCTTTGGTTACTTTTTTTAATCTTTGGATTGTTCACTGGAAGCACAGTTAAATGCAGTTAATTTCTGTGTATTGATTTTACGTCCTAGGACCTTGCTGAGCTCTGTCACTGTTCTGGTGACTTTTAGTGGATGCCTCAGGGTTTCCCATGCAGTTTCATGCTGCCTGAAAACAGATGCAGTTTTGCCCCGAGTTCTGGCCTGGACGCCCTTTCTTCGCCCCAGGGCCCAGGGGAACCTCGGCGGGCGTGGAGCCGAGGAGGTGCCCGCGCCAGCCTGGGTGGGCCCTGGGGGTCTCCTCAGAGGCCATCAGCAGGCCGAGGATCTCCGTTCCTCATTTGCAGAGGGTCCTTACTCCGAGGGACACTGAACTTGGCCCCATCCTTTTTCGGCCCCTGTGGAGTTGCTCCTGTCATTCTCATCCCTTCATCCTCCTCACCCAGGGCGCTGCCTGAGTTGACTTTCAGAGGCCAGGCCACCCTTGCGTTCCTGGAGGGGTCCCAGCTGACCAGGGCGCGGCCTCTTCTCAGGTGGCGGATCCAGCTCCCTCGTGCTGGGGGTGGGGGGGCTTTGTGGCCACGTCCCTAAGGGGCCCTGGTCTGTACTTCGCTTTCCTGTGACATCGGGGCGACGGGGCTGGGGTCGGAGCAGCCCTGGGCCAGCAGAGGACAGGGCGCTCCCTCCTCCTCTGATTTTGGGACAATTATGTGGAGGACCAGCATTCACTCCTCTTGAAATGTTTGGGAGAGTTCACCATGGAAGCAGCCTGGACCAGAGCTTCCTTTGTGGGTAGTTCCTTTTTTTTCTCCATTAACATAACCTCTTTCCTTCTTATAAACCTATTCAGATTTTCTATTTCTCAGGTTAGTTTTGGCAGGTTTTGTCTATCTAGGAATTTGCCCATGCCAGTTCAGTTGCCTAATGTACTGGCTTGTCATTGTCCATCGCAGTCCCTGTAATTCTTTGCTTGAACTCTCTTTAAAACTGAGGTGACTGTCCTGGCAGGTGCGGCTCCGTGGACTGGGCGCCGGCCTGCAAAGCAAAGGGCCACCGTTTCCATTCCCAGGCAGGGCTCAGACCTGGGCTGCGGACCAGGTCCCCAGTATGGGCGCCTGAGGGGCAACCACACGTGGACGTTTCTCTCCCTCTCTTCCTCCCTCCCTTCCCCTCTCTAAAAATAAATAAAATCTTTAAATAAAGAAAAATCGAGGTGAAATTCACACAACATAGAGGTAACCATTTCAAGGTGAATAAGCCAGATGCACTGAGCCCACTCACAATGCTGTGCAACCACGTCCTCTCTCTGGTTCCGGAAACTGCTGCACGCAAGGAAACCCCCGCCTCTGGGGGCTGCTCCCCACGGCCTCTCCACATTGTCACTGGTAACATCCTCGTCTCCCTGGATTCACCACTTCTGGGACCATGTACATTCCTACAGCCTGTGTCGGCTCTTCATCCCGTCAT